ATCTATCTATCTATCTATCTATCTATCTATCTATCTATCTATCTATCATCTGTCTGTCTATCATCTATCTATCTATATCTATGTATCTATCATCTATCTGTCTATCTATCTATCATCTATCTATCTATCTATCATCTGTCTGTCTATCATTTATCTATCCATCATCTATCTATCTATATCTATCTATCATCTGTCTGTCTATCTATCTATCTATCTATCTATCTATCTATCTATCTATCTATCATCTATCTGTCTGTCTATCATCTATCTATCTATCTATCTATCTATCTATCTATCTATCTATCATCTGTCTGTCTGTCTATCTATCTATCATCTATCTATCTATCTAGTCCATCTGTTTCTACCTACCATCTACCTTTCATCTCTCTATCGTCACTATATCTATTTGCATCTATCTATCTATCTATCTATCATCTATCTATCTATCTATCTATCTATCTATCTATCTATCTATCTATCTATCTATCTATCATCTACTGTATCTATCTATCTATCTATCCATCCACCCACCCATCCATCCATCCATCCATCCATCCACCCATCCATCCATCCATCCCTCTAGCTATCATCTAACTATATCTATCTCGTGTGATGTGATTTTCTTCAGTTCACGTGTGCTACATTTGACTGAAGAATGTTTGTGTTCCTGAGCACAGATAAAACAGAACACCTGAAAGAGGCAAGACATAACATAATCTCATAATCAAGGGGGGGGAAAGTGCTTCAAAGCAGCACTTTAGCAGGATACACCAGAAAGCAATGAGTACACTGGAACTCCAAAGAGCAAAATCTTCAACTGGACCTTGTCCTACCTACTGTTCTTCAATCCCTAATCTCTTTGGAAGTACGCTGGAGGGGATGGCTTTAACAAATTTAATGAAATAAATAAATGGCCGTTTGCCATGCTTTTCAGGGGGTCTTCCGGCTTTCAGTAGCTCCTAAGTTAGGAAGGAGAACATGGCTACACATGATGATCATCCAGCTTAGAGAGCAACGTTTCTCAACCTTGGCAATTTGAAGAATTGTCTGGGCTTCAATTCCCAGAATCCCCCAGCCAGTGCTGGGAATTGGAAGTCCAGACATTTTCAAGTTACCATGGCTGAGAAACACTGCCTTAAAGGAACAGAAATACTTTCCCCAAGCACCAAACCATCATTAAAACAGCCCCATCTATTATAGATTATAGGCACACAGAGACCACATCCCATTTTCTTATGAACTAGCGCAGACAAGCTGCGGCTCGCTGCTTTTCCACGGCTAAAATCAAGAACGCATTCCCTCGGCCTCTTTTTCCCCCTCTAATTACAATTTTTATGGCTCAGACAGCTTGATTCATGGCTGCTGAAATACTGCTTGCTCTAAAAATCGGATGGGCCTTATGGTTCCACAGGCGAGAACAGCTGCCCACAAACGATCCAAGATTCCCACGGTACAGTTCAGGGATCGGGGCAGGGAGCAATAAACGCGCAAACCAGAAGGGTGAAAGCGTTTATCCATGTGGCGAAGCGGTTTTGCTCTGTGGCAGAAGCCAGAGAGGCATCGCTTCACGATCCATTTGTCAAGCCAAGAGGGGTTTCGTGACCTGTATCAATTATGCAAAGGGAGCACAGCGTACAATCTTCCCTTGCATAACATTATTATCATATATTTTTTTTAATCTTTTGCAGCTTTTCCTCTTAACACCTCTCCTAATTACATGAGTCACAATCTGCTGAAGCTTCAAAGCTCAACCTACGTTGGCTGGGCAAATTATCCATCCACGTTTGTGTGTGCTTCTTGGTTTCCTCTGAAAACAAAAAATTAACGAGAAGAGCAGTGGTGGGATTCAAATTTTTTTTACTACCGGTTCTGTGGGTGTGGTTTGGTGGGTGTGGCTTGGTGGGCATGGCGTGGCAGGGAAGGATACTGCAAAATCCCCATTCCCTCCCAACTCCTGGGGAAAAGTTACCGCAAAATCCCCATTCCCTACACACCTTACTAACCTGCTTTCCAGCTCCATTCTCCTGTGCAGGGCAACAAAAGGAGACCCAGTCAATCAGGTGGTACTCGGGAGGCAGAGAAGAGCTGGGGGCTGGGCCAGTCAGAGGTGGTATTTGCTGGTTCTCCAAACTACTCAAAATTTCCACGACCGGTTCTCCAGAACTGGTCAGAATCTGCTGAATACCACCTCTGAAGAAGAGGCTTTGACTAATTCTTGTCAGAGGAAGATTCAACCAGGAATATTTCATTTAGTGGCTGTTCTAAGTTACAACAACACTGAAAAAGTGACTTTTACTGTTTTTCACACCTAGAACCGCTGCAGCAGCCCCATGGTCACATGATCAAAATTCAGATGCTAGGGCAACTGGCTCATATTTGTGACGGTCACAGCGTCCCAGCGACACGTGAGCAACTTTTGCGACCTTCCAACAAGCAAAGTCAATGGGGAAACCAGATTCGCTTTACAGCTAAGTTGCTAGCTTAACACCAGCACTGAGTCACTTAACCACTGTGAGCAAGAAAGGTCGTAAAATGGAGCAAAACTCCCATAACAATGATCTGATTTAACAACAGGAATTTTGGGCACAGCTGTGGTCGTAAGCCGAGGACTATCTGTAAGGAGGAATGGCCTGACAGACAGAACAACGAATCAATGGAATAGCTTGCTTCTCGGAGTTATGGGTGTTCCATCACTGAAGATTGTCCACAAAATATTGGATAATCATTTGTCCAGGATTGTATAAGGACTCCTGCCTTGGACATGTTCTGACCAAGGCTTCCCCAAAAAGCCCTAAGCAGACTTTTTGTCCTGGTGAAACCCCTTTTCTTAAACAAAGGTGAATTTCTTGCATTCACATTCAGCCAAAAGCCTGGCAAACAGTCTTTCAAGGGTGTAATTAGGAGCACAGACCTTATCTAGCCTGGAGAGCTGCCAAGTAAATATTTCCAAACGCAGTGCTGACAAGGAAGGACTTGGCACAGACTGTCTGCAATGAACAGACCTATCTTCACACTGCTGCAACAAACAAATTGTTTCTTGCAACAACAAAAAACCCCCTCCCCTTTTGCACCTTTTTTAATCCCTATGGAAGGGGCCATTCACCATTCTCTTGTGGCCTTACTCCCATGTCGACCCTGAGTTCATAATTGTTATTTTCTTTTGGCAGCTCTGTGCATGGGTAGGCTGGGAACTGGCTCCCGCTGCTCCCCCGCCTCACTGCTATCTGACTCCGAAGGCAGCTGATAACTGCCAGGCTGCCTTGGCCCCATCTCTGCTTCTGACACAGATCGCTCGTCCGAGCCTTCCTCAGCCTCCAGGACTGGCCCAGGTTCCTCCCCAACTTCCTCACTGTCTGACTCTGCTGCCAGCTCCTCTAGCCACCGGCAAACCACAAGAAGACAGCAGGGTGGGGGGTGGAGGGGTGGACTGAAAGACCTCCAAGGCCCCTTCCAGCCCTATGATTCTATGATACCCACCAAAATGGCTCTCCAGTGGGAGGGAACGCAAACAAGAAAGGGCATGTTTGCACAAGGCACACATGAGGCACAAAAGCTGGCCTTACCGTTCAGATTTGAAGTAAAGCAGAAGGCATCATAACGCTCGCGGTCCTTGTGCCGGTAGCCATAGTTCCTCACTCCAACTGGGGTATCTTTTCGTCCACATTCATCGCGAGCCTTGGAGATGGGATACTGGACAGAGCCATCTTCCAGCCACCCAGCGTTGCACCAATCCAGTCCATCCAGCCAGGCTTCGTGCAACTGGTCGTAGGAGGCCAGGATGCCATCTTGCTCAAGGCAGGCCTTCTGGGCTTCACGGAAATTCAGCATGTAGCGCCCCAAGCGAGGGTGGTAGGGGAAGATCACCCCTAAAAGAGAGGGAGAGGAAGCTCAGGAGTTCAGGTCAAAGGCCCACCTTAACCCGGTCTACCACACTTGATGCCTTCCCAAAGGCTTGGATTTCCAAGAGAACAAATGCACTGCAGATGTTAGCTAGTGTGATAATGAGACATTTGTAAGAAAACAACCAAGTTTTAGAGAGCGCCAAGGATCCCTCATTTCAAGCACGAGCTACAAATAGTCCGTTGGGACAAAACTAATGCCTTTACAGAGGGATGTCAACATGGAAATTGAGGTTACACCATTTTAACCACTCCGGTTTGAAAGAGTGTGAATAGGATCAGACAATCCTAGGGTCAAGACTGAACCGCTCTGCTTCTTTCAAACCTTATCATTATTCAACTTGCCAATGAACTTGGGTGGAGGGAAGGGTGGAATGGAGTGCTGAAAATTTGTGCACAGGCTTCGAGAGTCTGGAAACTTATCAAGGTCATGGCTGCAGGTGTTTGAGAAGGAGGTGGACTGTTCCCATAACGAAAGGACGTCTCGTAATTGGACAATGTGAACACCTAGGGGCAGGGAGAAAGAGAAGCTATTGTTTAATTAGGCAAGCATTTGCATGGGTAAACCAGAGCTGGTTTTGATTCTTCAGTACCGAAATGGTGTATCCAATAAAGTTTTACTTTGGGGAATTCAGAGCTCCCAAGAGTGTTTACTTGTTTAAAGGACCGCAAGTCCTCAAATCCCAACCACCTCCACCTCTACCTCCTCCTCCTCCTCCTTCTTCCTCTTCCTCTTCCTCCTCCTCCTCCTCTTCCTCCTTCTCCTCCTCCTCCTTCTTCCCCACCACCATAACATTTGTATGCTGCTTGACCCCATGCCTCTGGGCACCTCACAAGTACAAATATTAAAATAAAAATACAAAAAGGGACAAAATAAAATCCCAGATGATCTTACTATAGGGAAGGAGGGAGGGAAGGAGGGAGGGAGGAGAGAGAAAAACATTCCTATGTACAGGAATATGGAGATAACTTTGAACCAGGCCAGGAGCCATTGAAAGAGGAAAAAAAGGATGAATCTATCCTGGGAAACCGGAAGGTGTGAGAAAGAATCTCAAAATAACTCAGGCTTGATTCTCCTTGGTATAAAGGGGATAGAAAGAAACATTGTTAGGCTTTCAAGATGGTCTTATTATATTCAGCACCAAACCGCTCCCTCCCTCCCTCCCTCCCTTCCTTCCTTCCTTCCCATGTGTATAAATCTAATTTTCACCAATAAACTTCCCTGTGCAGAATCCCTCCTTGCATACATGCATCCTGTTAGGAATATGAGTCACCTAACAGGTATTTGGGTTAGAAATATATAAACCAGGATATACATTTTAATTCTGTCTCTTTAAGAGCATGCTAAAAATTGCAATTGGGTGTGGTTACTCAAATGGCCATAAGATGGAGCCAGAAACCTGGGTTGTTTTAGTCTTCTCTTAGTCTCAGAAGAGAGTGTAAGTTTCTGTTTCCTTCTGTTGGAGAGTATTGCCATTCCATTTTTCTTAATTGACTGATATTCCTGGATTTGATGTAAGTCTGATACTGAACTGTTTTTGACACTGGACTTTGTTATTGGATTGTCCCTGGATTGAAAACTGACTGATTTATCTGTGAATGATTTTGGACTGCTTGTTTTTGAACTTTGCTTAAACCTTTCTGGAAGTAAAAACCTACATTTACTGTACAGTGTATCTGTGTGCTGTGTGTGTATTATTCAAACACTCCTCTCAAATACATCTCCCTGTATGCGCTCATTCTCCTAACGGGGAATTTCCTCAACACATCCTACATGCATAAATCCATCAAACAAAACAGATGGGCAATGCTGCAGTTGTGAGGCTACCCACAACTGATGCGGAGAAGCAACGGAAACTCTCTTATGGGGGTCTTGTCTGAATGAATTGAACAATCCAACTAGGCTCTAGGGAGCCAGATCTCAGAAGCACCTACATCCCTGGCAGAAGGCAAGAACGGAGGGAGAGGGAATTAATTTGAGACTGCAATGCTAAATAGGCACCATCCTTGGAGGAAGTGCTTTTCCTAACTCAGGCGTCTCTAACTTCCAGGCCATGGCCCACTATTGGGCCTTGAGCCCTTCAAAACTGGGCAGAGCTGTTTCCCGCGGCACGCAAGAGGTCACCCGGAAGAGCCCCACTGCACATGCGCACCGCCGCCAGACAGCTGATTGTCGGGTATCGGGTGCGCATGCACAGGGGGCATGAGGGGGCCAGCACGCATTGCCTTCTGGGTGCTGGCACGTGAGTGTGCACACTATTATTGGCACAGGAGCCGAAAAAGGTTAGCCACCACTGGTATATAGTGTAGAGTTGTCAGTTGAAGTTCTCATTCTGGTCCTCTGAGTTGGAGCGGGAAAATACTCTCTCCTGATTGGTTGTTTGGCTGATCGGTTTCCTATAAAAGGAGCTGTGTCAGCCAGGGAATTCAGTTGCCTCACAGGCAATATTGAATAAAGAGCTGTTAGAAATCACCCCGGCCTCACCTCCATTCTTCGCCCAAAGTTTAACACCCACCACTCACACGGAATCATCCCCTCTCCCCACCCTTCAAACCAGTCCACAAAGCCGGAAAGATTGAGGAAGTCTGCCTTAGCTGAACCATTTTTTTCCTCAGCAAAGTTAGTACTTCCAACAGAATTCTATTTGATTGCCTCAAGTCGCGTCTCTTCTCCTGTAGAGTTGTAATTGCAGGAATGTTCCAATCTCGGATGGCAAACCTCAGATAAAGAATGTTTCCAAGCAAATACAACTCAGGCAAACAAAGTCACTAATCTATGGATAAAGGAGGATTAGAGAGAGGAAGTAGACATATGTTAGACTTTAACTAGAGATAATTAATTGTACTGTACTAAACAGTAACGAAAGTTAAGCAGTAACCAATGATGGAGGATAACTAAAAATCTGTATAAATGCAAGACTAGACTCCAATAAAGATCATCATAATTCAGTTGTTCATGATCAAACAACTCGATTGCCTCGACATTACAACATTCTCCATCATCCCACCCTAACTCAATCTCATCAGACTCCAGCTGAGCATATATTTTCAGCGGAATGAGATATTGATTTAACGCAGCAGCAAAAGTCAGAGAAAGTGTTGGCGGGTGAAGGGATTCTCTACACACAGGTTCTGTCTGCAACATTTCATAGGTCACGAAAGCTTATGCCCTCTAATAAAATTAGTCAGCAAAGAGGCTACCAAGCTCCAAATGTCTGTAATGACAATGATGACAATGATGTTATCCGTTCAATCATGTCCAACTCTTGGTGATTCTATGGAGTCAGGTCTCTCCACATATTGCACTGCTTCTTTGGGTTTTTCTATGCTCTGGCTGGTGTTAGCTTTGATGGTGTCCAGCCAGGGTTCCTGTTTGCCAGCACATCTCCAGGTGATTTTTGTTCTGACAGAGTGCCGAGTTGGCTCCACGTCCAGTTGTCTGGGTTGATTTGTTCTGCGCTCACCTGGCCACACCCACCTAGTGCCCCCTACCCGGCCACACCCACATGGTTGCATCTACCTGGCCACGCCCACCCAGCCGCCCCAAGTCAGCAGCCCCGAGTCATCTGTGCCAAACCAGCTGCACCTAATTCTTCCCTTTGACCTGGCCACACCCACCTACCCATGCCCACCTGGCGCAGTACTCAGATTTCCACGCCCACCGAGTCACACCCACCAGGCTGCAGTGAGTCATCCCATTCCATCCAGCCACCGTGTAATTTGGCGGCCTGATTTCCTTTGACTCTTCCAAACGTGATTGCTTTCTCTGGTGAATTCCCCCGCATGATATGGCCAAAATAAGTGAGACACACTTCTGTGATTTTGCCTTCCAGTGACATACCCGGTGTTATCGGTGGAAGGATTCACACTGTTTTGCCACCAGTTCGGTGGGCATGGCTTGGTGGGCGTGGCCTGGTGGGCGTGCTTTGCCTAACGCCAGCGTGCAGCATTCCCCACACCATCTGAGACCTGCAGCGCCAATCAGAGGAGAGGATATACAGTAGAAGAATACCTTTATTGTCATTGCATTCCATGAATACAATGAAATTTGAAAGCTACTCCAGGCACAGTGCCCCAAACACCACATCACAATCACACTACAGAGGATTTAAAAATAATAATAATAATAATAATAATAATAATAATAATAATAATTATTATTATTATTATTATTATT